TGATTGCATTCTTAAACCATGTTATTGTGGAAGCACAATAAACACAGTACCTAACGTCTGTAAATGTACCTACATGCAATTTTAAATAGACATGACAAAACGATCTGACACATTTTATTACCTATCTCTGACACAGGCACTCCTATCCTACTTTTCAAAAAAATTAATGTCACCTGCTATATGACTGCACTGTATCTACTATGTCTTGTACCTAACATGTACCTAATCATAAAAAGTGCAGTGACAGTACAATAATCTGAAACAACCAGAGCCATCTCATGAATTCTTACAAAATGGAAAAAGTTGCTAAAACAAAGTTAGTTCCCCGTCTTACCAAACAGACTGCCGCTCGACGAAGTCTAGTCTTAGGGATGAAATATTGTTTTAGGTAAACCGTCGCGTCGTAACCATAATTATTAAAAAAATAATTTATAGCGGCAGATCAAATTACACTTTTTAGTCTTACACTACTTACACACTCCTATACTTTTCGTCGAGAGGAAGAAGCTGGTACTGGGGTGCCCCCGCCCAAAGATGAGAACAGTATTCCATGTGGGGCCGCACCTGTGCCTTATACCTCTATAGAAGCAGGCGGTGGGTCGGGGTGAAATACTGCCTCGATCTGTTGAGCACACCAAGCTTCCTCGAGGCTAATTTGGCCTTATCCTCTAAATGACCGTAAAACTAGACGTCGCTCGAAATGCTGACACCAAGTATTCCAATACCAGCCGAGGCAGTTAGGGGGGTGCTTTGAAACTGAGGAGAGATGACCAACGGCAGTTTCTTAACGGTAAACACGCAGACTTGTTTCTTAGTGGGGTTAAACCGGTGTTAAATCTATTTAATTGTTATGATATTAAAGACGAAAATACAATAAAAAATTAACAGATTAACCTGCTAGTCATTAGATATAACTACACACTAATTTTCAAAACTTAAAGAACTGATGAAAATAAAAATATTTCCTCGTTCTTGCCAGACAGACTGCCGCTCGGCGGAGTCTAGTCTCCAGTCTCAGGGGTGGCATATCGTTTTAGGTAACCGTCGCGTTTACCCCCGAGGATCGATCGTAAATTATAACGGTTTATGGCAGAAAACATGCTCGACCGTAGACTTTAGGGTTTGTGTTTGTAATACATATTTATAGCTTAGCAACACAACTTCAGATTATTGTTTTCGTTCATAATATTTTATAGTAACCACCCAGCTATATATATGTACCTATACCTAATGAAAGCAGTTTATTTTTCTACGCAAATATTGTACCTACTTATTTTTTGTCTGTTGTTTTGTTGTGCGATTACCGGAACATAAATTGTTAAGTATAGGCGTATAATATAATAATTAAGTTGCTAAAGGCCCTTAAATATAAAATAATTATCATTTTCTACGGTAGATAAATCTCTAACAATACCTACACAATTAATGTATCGTCACTAAATAAATGTACATGAAAGTAAACTATACATATAATAAAACTGTACAAGTATATATATAGTACATTAAAAATACAAAAATAATAATAATAACGCTGTAACTGTATGGTTGATGGTCGAAATTAGCTTAAACCGATATTATAAATGTAAAAATATTAGAGTTTGTGTGTATTTTTTTTACTTAGTCACATCAAAACGGCTGAATTTGGAACAGAAGCAGATTATGGTCAGGAGTAAAACATCTGGAAACGCGGGCAAAGCCACTGGCAGAAACAGTATATTTATAATAAATGGTATGTAATGCAATATTAAGAATAAACCCAACATTCGCAGATCCGATCTAATGATAATGACAGTGTTCCCAAAAAAGTATGGACATTAGCTACCATACAGCACTTAGGCAAATCACTTTTAGATGCCGTAAAAGATAAATTGATGGCAAGCGTTCATGCGATTAGGGGTTTATGTGAACATAGACTGAGGTATATGCCACAATTCTCAAATAACAATTTGAGTACAAATTCACCTCATCATCAACAGCCTATACGTGCCCACTGAGCAAAGTCTCTTCTCACACGGAGAAGGTTTGAGCATTAATCACCAGATCACCACACTTGCTCAATGTGGGTTGGCAAAAATTCACCTATTTGGTCGATATTATGATCTAGCAGTGCAATTAATGGTTTCTCTTTAGAAACGTAGTTCGCTACATTAGAATTTCCTTCTGAGTCGTTCATACGTTAAAAATAGTTAATTGTACGTTTGTGTCACACCTGGTTTCTCTAACCAGTACTGGTTAGTACCAGAAATAGGAACCAGGTAGTGATGCTAGCATGCATCGTTTGTCATGTTCACCAATCGAGTAATCTATCTTTGATATTGTGACTACACCAATAAGGGACAAATCTTTTTTTTTATAGTATAAGCCGGTAAACGAGCAGACGGATCACCTGATGGTAAGCAATCAGCACTGCCCATGGACATCCGAAACACTAAGGCGTTACAAGTGCGTTACCGGCCTTTTGGGAATTGGGAATTTGAGGATTGTGGAGGATTTGGGGAATCAGGAGACTAGGGTCCCTCCCTAGTCTCCTGTTAATTGGGCCACCGTTAACCTCACGCACACGACGAAGCACAACACAAGCGTTGTTTTACGTAGGTTTTCTGTGAGAGCGTGGTATCTCTCCGGTCAAGCCGGCCCATTCCTGCCGAAGCATGGCTCTCCTACACTTAAAAGCTTTTTAGAAGGTCATCCAATCAGATTACTCAAAATGGTTTAATATTGCAATCAGCCACCATGAAAAGAGCAGCAGTATCTTCAAAATTTTAAATGCCCAATCTCCGTGTAAGAAGAAACCGTATTTGTTTAGTGGTCGACTCTTATAGACTGTTGATGTGATGTGTGAAACTGTGAGGTATCAAATCTTTTGAAGGTCTCCAAATAAAGATTGCCAAAGCTCAGCTCTTTAAGATGTTTAGCAGTTGATAACTGATATTTTTAGACTATAGATGATGATGATCATTTTCCAGATAGAAGTTTAAATATGTCTTTATAATGTATGATTCGACTTTTGATTAAACACTGAAAAATCAAATCTCGAAGGATTTGTGAATCTGAATGGAGAAAAGGTATAAGTAGACTTTTGCTTATCATTTCAAAGATAAACCAACATGTTGTTAAATTTTTATGTCTTAACGAGCTACTTTCGCGCGGTCTCACCCGCTCTGCTCGGCTCCTATTAATGATAGCTTAATGTATCATAGCCTATAGCCTTCCTTAATAAATGTACTATACAACACAAAAAGAATTATTTAAATCTGACCAGTAGTTACGGAGATTAGCGTATAAGATTGCACGTGTATGCTTCATCAGAATTAGCAAAATAGTTATTATAGTAATATTAAATTATACTTGTATATAATTAGGTACACATCGACAAAGGTTTGTCCTTTTACTGTTTATAAAGAACAGTTCAACTAAAGTAGAACTAAAAATATTATTAAAACATGAATTACAATACTTTTGTTCTAACGTCTAAGTATAGCAACTATTGCATGTCGTAGGATGTTTAACAAGAATAGTATTTATGAATTCTCACGTAGGTAATCCTAGTTCAAGTACAGTTAGTAATTAAAATATAACATCCCATGTCCGTTTAGTGGTATAATAAACATCAGGTTAATTAGTCATCTGTATGTATTTATATGTACGCGCATATCTCCCGAACGGCTGTGGCAAACTAGATAAATCCTTTTTTATAGTAATGAAATTAAAGATGACAATTTTATTAGGATAATATATATTTATTTTATCTAGATATACATACAATACCTATACAAAGTTCTCGTTATCCTTTTCACTGATTATACTAAACTTCTATAAGGCAATCTATACATAAAATAACTTTACCAACAATAACAACAAAAGAAAACGCTCTTTTATTATTTATATGTTTCTACCAATCACAAAACCTAATAAGGTCATGTTATGTCAATGTAAATAAATATGTCAATATTAGGCTATATTCAATAATTTACAAACTGATTTCATGACGACCGAACGAAAACCTTTCATTAAGGCTTCATATTTTTTTAATCGTGTTGAATATATTTAAATTGATGAGCATGCCATGTATAATGCAGTCTTCTCTATAAAAATATATTACATTGAACTATAAATTAGTTAATCATTCATATCTTTACTTTTTTAGTATTTATTTTATTTGGTTTATATAGTCTTCAAAAACTACAGCTGTTTTCCGTACCAATAACGCACGTTAATTATTTTAGTTATATGTTTTTAAACTTATTAACGTTTACAGTTTTATGAAACGTGTTCATAGTAAAAAGGGCAAAATAAAATACTACGTAGATAATCTAATTTTTACTACAGCCGCGTGTCTCATGTATAAAACATCGCATTTAGTTGTATTTATGCTAAAACACATGTCCGATTGTTTGTCATACTGAATTATAAAACAGTAAAAAACTCGAAACAATTCACTGAAAAACATGCAATACACTAGTTCTAAAATGGATTGAAACTATATTTAGTCATACCATATCCCAATCCATTAATTTAAAAAGTTATCAATTGAAGTAATCATTAAATGAGGTAAGGAATCACAGGAGGTACCTGAAAAGCGCTGAAATTACGTAAATACTAAATAAAGACTGAATACTTATTCAGGTTTTTCAGTATGTCTAACACACGAAATTATCTTAGTATTCTTTAACACAGTTTCAATAAAAAATGTAATTCTGAAAGCTCGAAAGGAAAACAAGAATAAAATATTCGATTTTTCATTAAACTTGCAATTACGAAACAATTTTCCCTTAAATAAAAAATAAAATGTAGGTAACACAATTACAATAAAGTCTATTACTTAAACTTACTAACAAAACAATTGAATTAACTTCAGACTCATAATCGCATTTTATTAACTTTCCTACCAAAAGATAACATGGAAACAAAATATTGACAACTTTTCCAAATACTCTTCTTAAATTCAAAGGATTTTCTAACAAAAATAACTGAAAAGAAAAACGTATAAAGTAACTTACCTCGATATTTCGGACGCAACAGTGGTTGGCACGAACTCTGGTTAACTAAACTAAGGTTAAGCTATGCCCGTGCGTTTTGGTCGGCGCTTTACACAGCACTGCGGCGTATCGACCGTACCAACACATAAAATAAGCGCATAGCACGCGATGTAAGCGACACAAGTATTTACCAGTAGTCCTTGATATTGTACTGTCCTAATTCACTTATATTTTCGTACCTGGACTAATTAAATATAGATTTCATTTAAGTATAATGAAACTAAAATTAGAAAGTCAATAAACTTATTTTTACTAATTTTCTAAAAGTCTGTTGTGGTATTTTGAGCATGATTCTAAAGTCTTGTGTAACAATAGAGTTTGATAACCTAATAAAACTTTTGTCTTATAGGAATATTAAACATTTTACGCTTAGCAAACGCGGTTGCGGTTCCTTCACTTATAAAATGAGCTAAGCAGAAGCACAAGAAATGGAGTAGCTTCAAATGTTTTGTCCATTCATGTCTGATTGATATAACCGTTGATAATAAGGGATTCAAGAATCATCCCTAGTATTTCTTAAAGAAAGTTAATGGCTATTATATAAAAATCATGCCACTACTAATAGGGCTGATTTTTTTATTTTATCGGAAGAATATATAACTTTGAATATTTAATAAGTCTTCCTTATTAAAAACTGTGAAATGTCAACTTTCCTTCCTTTTCCCACAGTTAAGTAGTATGTACCTATATGTTGATTTATACTTTGATTATAAAAATGGCCTTTAAGAAGACAACAATAGGGGTGAAACTACATCACAGTTAGCTATAGTCTGAATTATAAGAAAATGTACCTATAGACTCTATAGTTAGACATTGAACGCAACGGTCAATGTTATCAAACGAGGGTTTTGCCCTCCAATAGAAAATACAAGTCAATATTTTACTGTGATCAATAATGATGGCGCGACGTATCTGTCTAACCAAGAAAATCGCTTTTATTTGGTTGTGAAAGACAAGGAACATTTTATGCGAATCAATTTTAGGGACGATCTGGATATTACATGGAACTAGATTTGTTACAAAGGCTTTTGTTGATCAAAAGTTATAGACTTCGAATCCCTTGTTGAGTCAGCATCATGAATAGCCCGATGCTACGTTAGACTATAAGGCTCTACATAAGGTGATTTGACCTAATCTCCACGCTTGGTAGACGGATTGTTTATAAACAGTTTTTTCTGATAGATGGTCGGCGTCGCCCATGGACACCTGGAACACTAGAGGCGTTATGTTCCGGCCTTTTGGGGATTAGGAATTTGAGGAATGTTGGGGATTTGGAGATCAGGGAGGGGGGTAATTGGGCCTCCAGTAACCTCACTTACACGAAGAAACACAACTCAAGCGTTGTTTCACGTCTTTTTTTTGTGAGGTCGTGGTATCACTCCGGTCGGGCCGGGCCATTCGTGCCAAATCATGGCTCTCCTACACTTTTTTGACCTCGTTTTTAGTGTTTATTTGTAATTAACACTAAAAACGAGATACACAGAACACTACAGATACAGAACACTAATAACGTTGTTTTACAACGCTTGCGTTGTGTTTCGTCGTGTGAGTGAGGTTACCGGAGGCCCAATTACCCTCCCTCCTCCCTCCAAAATCTCTGAATCCCCAACAATCCTCAAATTCCTAATCCCTAATAATCTCTGAAAGGTGGGTAACGCACTTGCAACACCTCTGGTGTTCCGGATGTGAATGAGCGATGCCGATTGCTTACCATCAGGTGATCCGTCTGCTTGTTGACCGGCTTATCCCATAAAAGAAAACTAAAATAAAATGAACACATTTTTCATCATCCTCTTTCCACGGGTCTCTTAAGAGGTGACTAATCAGAGACAGCATAGGGCAGCAGTGCTCTTTGTTAAACCTGATCCTCTTAAAAAGAGATCTCCAATCCGACTGGTAAATGCAAGGCTCTTTTAGGGTACGTCTATATCTGGTGAACGCGCCGCGAATGTGCCGCTTGCGGTCGTTTGCGGGCTGCCCGCGAGCTGCGCGCGTGTTGTCATGGCAATGGTTTGGTGATCAATTCATACAAGGTACGTATGAATTTTTTTTAAATGATAATTATAAATAAAAATAATAAAATTTAAATGATAAATAAAAATATAATAAAATTTTAAATGCACTCGTGCAACTCACGGACGGCTCGCGAGCTGCGCATTCGCGGAGCATTCGACAGATGTGGATGCACCCTTATATAGAGTAGGCTCGTAGTCTAGCAGTGGACAGAGTGCTTTAGAATGTTGTTTAAATAATTTTCATAATTGGTTTGATAACTTATATATTGATGTGCTTGACCCTAATCAAACGTCAATATCTTAACAGTTTGAATACATTAAAACTGTTTCAGTGCTCCCCTTCTATTGATAGTCCATACAAACAAATCAACAGACATTTTGATGAGTTTGATAAAAGCTGGATGCTCAATTATTCACCTTGATTGACGTCAGGAAATAATTTACTACAATATTCTCCTTCTATGGTTTCTATTTTGTTGACTTAGACTGGAACTTTTAAATAATTATGGTTCTATTTTTGGAAAACTAAATATCTGTTCTAATTTTAGTGTGGAGAAATTAACCGTGATTTACCAGAGAGCTACAATTACCGAAAAGTAGAAAATTATACTAATAACAGGGTATTAAGCTGTTTATAGACTAGCATACCATTTGTATCAGTTTTAATTACATAAATATGTCGTGCTGGCTCGGAGGTTTAAGACCACTTCTCATGCATATCGCGGGTTCGAAACCTACCAACGGCAAGTACCAATGTGACTTTTTCAGAGTAATATGTACTTTCTAAGATTATTTAGATACCACTGACAAACGATGAAGGAGAACATCGTGAGCAAACCTGGGATTATTATTTCTAATTATAAGTCTGAAATCGCCACCCCGCACTGAGCAAGCTTGGTGATTAATGCTCAAACCTTTTCCGTGTGAGAAGAGACAGAGACAACAGTGTTAAACTTTTACACCTACGATTGTGTCTCTCTGCATCACCCTAAGGTTGACTGTTAGAGAATGCCACTAGGCATTAAGTCCACCATTGTATGCAAGAAGTGTAAATAAATAAATAAATAAGAGCTATTTGGTCAGCAGTGGCCACTTATAGGCTGTTGATGTGATGATTTTTAATATTATTTGAATTGGTAGGCTAGTTTTGATATAAAATCAGGCTTTTTCAGTGACTAATTTTAGGTACTATTAAAAAGTTTTCATCAATGGAAAGCCTAATAATACTTCACTTACTAGAGGCGAAGATGATGCCTTTGTCGTAATTTACACCACAAGATAGCTTTAGAAATCACCATCAACTTGAAAACTATGTCTTCTAATTTTAGACCAATATAGAATGCCACTTAAACATTAAAGGATAATGGGTTCATATTTAATGATGGACACAGACAATTCTGACCTTTCAATCACAAAATTTCGTTTGACCTTTAGTTGGGTTTCCAATTTGTCCTGTGATTTGGAGGCATTAAATCGTGCTTGTCCACTTAGTGTGTCACTTTGTTTCAGTGCATAGACTGACTGCTGTGACGGTTGATGCCACTTAACTAAATTGAAAGAAATAGAACGAAACATGCAATGAATCCCATTTTGTTAGGAGTTATTAGGTTAGGAGGTATTCAATACTTAGACTTAGACTTACAAAAGTCAGAAAATATCATTGAGGGGCGGGTCATCTAACCCTATTATACCTACTTTTGATAGAACTTAAACAAATTTATAAACCACATGACATCACGCCTTTAATCCTCGATGGGGTAGGCAGAGGTGCAGGTGAGGTTACGACATCTTAATACCACTGCACAATGTAACACCCACTTTTCACTATTTATGTTATGAGTCCCATGTACCTATTACCATATACCGGGCACAATTTCAAACTGCGAGCTACTATCGACAATTTTTTTTTAAATTCAGTTGTATTTTGCCCGACCCGACGTATATACTAAAACAGGATAAACCTCACTGCGAATTTGGAACTGGTTTTTTCAGAGTGCAACTGTTCAATTCAGGATAATTAGATGTGAAATTTCCTAAATACAAACACATAAGATCCCTTGAAAATGTACCACGACTAAAGTAAGAATGACTTTTTCTAAACACAATAGAAATGCATCTACATAGGGACTCATCAATTAATAATGATTCATGGCTTATAGTAGACAGAATAATTCCAGGGAAAAACCCAAGGCTGTCTGCATTTCACCTGATCGAACGCCTCCAGACGTACCACCCCTGCGACAAAAAGTCGCATATAACGTTGCGTGACTCACACGATTACAATACTGCTAAGGAATCGAATGAAATGAGCCATTACTGTAACCTGTTACGCAAGCTGTGTCGTTCTTACGTAGCATTAGTCAGTTAAATTAATGATTTTGTACTAAATCTAATTAGTCTGATTGCGGTCGAAAGTAATTTGTTTTATTTTTAAGCGAGTAAAAGATATTTGTGTATAGGCCTGATTTTTAAAAAGTTTATGTCATCTTCAAACGTCTCAGGGTAAATATTAATAGGGTTAAGCTTGATATAGTTTACATAGGTATCTTCAGATTGCACTATAATGGCCAAAAATTAATGAAATATTTTTGAGTACTAGCTGTTGCCCGCGACTTCGTCCACGTAAAATATGATTCCTGTTTTATCACATGGGAGCTTTTATTTGGAATAAAAACTATCCTGTCACCTAAGTCAGCTCATACCATACTTGTATACCAAATCTCATCTGAAATCCGTTCAGTAGTTTTAGTGTGATTGACGAACAAATATCCAAACAAAGAAAATTCCAAACTTCCTTAACATTTATGATGTTAGTGTGATTTTTTGCGCAAGTAAGCTTTTCAAATAAGGGCGGGAAAATAAAACAATATTATTTTATTGCTACAACACTAAGAATATTATTATCGTTTCGATGTTGTAAATAATACCTACTTAATTATTAAACTGAGAACTTAAATTACTAAATTAAACTTTATTAGAAATAGTGAATCGATCATTATTAATTAATCACTCTCCTTTAAAATGCTTGTGGCAATTCGCCCTACAATTGCCACAATTGGATTTTTCGTTTCCATTCTCGAAGATGTTAACGTTCCCAGTGAATCCATTATAAGATGTTCCATTGCCATTTACTGCCTTATTCAAATCATTTTTCACATAAGTTTTCTCATTACTTATTTCTTTACCATTTTTTAAGCTATTTGCGGCTTTTAAATTACCATTTTTAGGAAGATCGTTGTTATTTTGATCGACTATGGCGGCAGTTTCCAGTTGTGCTTTCTTTTGTTGCCTTGGTTTAATTATGTAGGTTTTGATATAGAAATCGACGAAGAGGACAAGCATGAACAAGTTTTGTGGCAAGAACATTGCGCTCGTCCATCTGGGGTAGGCGCAGTCGCTCTTGAAGACTATTATCGCCATGTGGACTACACACCAGAAGAATTGCAACTGAAAATAAGAAAAAAGGTTTACTATCAAATATACCTCTAAAACTTGGAGAATTAATGCATAGTAGAGAGAATAAAATCTGACAAGACAGAAAGGACGAGAAAGATTTTGACCACTGAAAAATTAAACTTTATTTACGAAAGATTTCTTGAATAGTTATCGTAATTCAAATAACTGGTTAAAATTGTTCCGCAGATCGTTAAAGATGATTGCTTGTTATCAACTTAACAGATGCATCTCATGCAGACAATTTTACGGTAATGTGATGTTAATACAGTTCGAATATTCAACAAAAACATCAACAATATTATGGTATTACAAATAAGCAAACTAGCTGACCAAGTTATCTAGATATGTCAAAAAATCTTTTAAGATTTCGATTTCAACACAAATGAAATCATTTAATTATTTGCAATATCTTCGAGTTTGGAACTACTCTTGGTGTTTGCTAATAGATTTGTCGCTTCTAACGAAATTCACATCACCGCAGTTCAAAAACGGGTAGAAGAATACCAATTTATTATGATACTCTTACTTTGTCTTCTAGGTATTTTTTTTTAAGGGGGAAAATCATCGAATTACTGCTCCCGCCTTGGTGAGGCGGGACGAAGTGTTAGACTCTTACTGACCAAAAACCCACCCCGTTCCTTCTCATGCACATCGAGCCGGAGCCCCGGTAACCCGTTAGGTTCTCCGCGATTCCGAATCGGCATCGGCCCTGTTGGGCCCCATATATGGTGGTCTGATGGCTCTATGAGGCGCGCGCGGAACGCGACGCGCTATACGGTCGGGTCTGTTTCTGGTCGGACGGGAAGCCACCCATGCTCGCCGTCCGCAGGCCCGCGCTTACGGTGGCCGGAGATCGTCCCGCGATCCCCGACGCCCGGAGTGTCCTTTGCGACGGTGGTTATGAGGAGGCAGGATGTTGCTACCTCACGCGCCCTGCCTCCTCTTTAGCTAGCATGACTGCTTCGCAAAAGGAGGATAAGGCATCCCAGTCTTCTTCGCTTCGTATCATGGCCCGGACAAGGGCCAGACGTGAGAGGTCGCTGTCGCCGATCACATCCCTGCTGACACGGCGGTGCTCAGCCCACGCAGAGCATGCCCCACCGTGTGCTTAGCGGCTCTCTCGGTGATGACACCCACGCGTTTCCTCCCGCCCTATCAGACACAGGTACCTGCCTCCCGAAGCTCCCATGTCCGGTAAGGCGTCAGGCGGTAGGTGAGGACGCCATAGCGTCTCTCTAGCCACTCCTCAAAGAGGGGACTTACCGCTGCAATGGCAACGAGCACAGCCCTCGCTTGCGACAGTCGTTGCTGCCATTCCGGCATGAGATCGCGCCGGAGCTCGTCCCACCACGATGATTAATAAACAAAAAATAGGGATCTTTTCGATATACTCACAATTTGCAATTGAGTGACGTGTTTCTTAACACGAAGAGAGTTCTTGACGCTGGGCATGACGACTGACAGTAAGTAGTAGGCATACATCACGACGTGAACGAAGGAATTTATCACGCCAATTAATGTTCCATGGCCGCCTGGAAATTGGAAGAAAATATTTTTTTTTATTACTTTACCTCCCTGTGTCGTGGGTGCGTTTACACGTATACAAGTTCAGATACACATGACACCCAGACCAGAAACAACAATTTGTGGGTCACACAAAAAGTTAGTCCACGCGGGAATCGAACCCGCCACACGTTGCGCGTTGCGCGGCAGCCGGAGGTTTAGCCACCTCAACAACCATGCCGTCAAAATTTTCTATACATTTTATTACATTAACAGTCCTTGAGATTAATAATCTGCACTGACTTCACAAAGAAGTTAGCCAATAAAGCCAATAATCAAGTGGGTTGAATTCGCAGTAAACGAATATGATTTACCGAAGAGCACTAAGTATTGCTTGAGATAATGTATTAGGTAATAGTGGTCATAGTAGGAGTGTTAGCGCTATGTACTAAAACAATTATTATAATTTGTAGCTTGTTATATGGCCTTACACAAACAAAACACCATTTTATTCACTAATTGCGAATATGACGTATGAAGTTGTATTACAGTGAAATTGAATTAACTTAACCTAGCAACATTGTGGTATCCACATTGTTTTATATGCACTAACAACACATTAATTATAATCTACACAAAGGCATTAAAAACATTCCAACACATCGGTAACCTATTTTTGCCAAAATATTTAAATATATATTGTGTCTAAATATAAATCTATGAAAAGCAGTACCACCTGGTTAATTGCATCAAATTTGAATTTAATTTTAATGACCCCGGTTGTTTGTAGTGTAATGAACTTGTCTTTAGCATTTCAATACAAATAAAATTCAAAAAATTCTAAATTAATTTCTATCTCAGTAAGTAAATCTACAGATAGATCGGTTATAGAAAATGGCTGTAAATTGGAGGTAATAATCTCATATTTGATCTATAATCTCACAAAACAGTTTTCTATGTTTTGTTTTCTTGTCAGTGGGATTTTTCAGGAAGAAAAGTTAAGTAGGTGTTAACGTAGTGTTTCACGCGTGGCACTCTACAAAGGGAAGCAGCCTCTCAGGGCCGCTAATGTGGCGGGACCTGCCGCAAACATAGCGGTGGATCGAGGCTTACCGAGTGTGATGATTCCGCAAGAACATCCCGGTTCACCGTCACAAGCAGTGAAGGAAAACCGCGAGGGTTTTAGTCGGTAAGAGGCACGCTCCCTATCGTACTCACGATATGGAAAGTCCATGAGGATTTCAATAGCAGTAGAAAAAAATCCTACTATACAATTATGAATTTATTTGTATATACCTGGTAAATAGGTGACTGCACCCCATATGAGCATACACATGCCAGTGTGGTGGTATATATGAAGGAAGGATACTTGGTTGTTTTTCTTGCGAAGCACGAAAAATACCTGAAAATTAGATAAAGAAAATAATTTTTATATAAGGTAACTTTCAAAACGATCACAATGTTCCATAAAATACTTATAAATTGGCTCGTGGGCCAAGACTCAGCTTCTATACTTTTTGGATTATCAATACAATTGAACGAATTTAAGGGGTCAGTAGAATACCTGTGCAAGGCCCTTTTTTTATTGAGGGGGAAAATCATCCACTGACTTCTCCCGCCCGGGTGAGGCGGGAGGGAGTGTCAGACTCTTACTGACTAAAAACCACCCCGTTCCTACTCCTGCACTTCGAGCCGGAGCCCCGGCAACCCGTTAAGTCTTCCGCGGCTCCGTATCGGCATCAGCCCTGTTAGGCCCCATCTGTGGTGGTCTGATGGCTCCTTGAGGCGCACGCGGAACGCGACGCGCCGTACGCTCGGGCCTGGTTCTGGTCGGGCGGCGAGTCACCCGTGCTCGCCGTCCGCACGCCCGTGCTTACGGTGGCCGGAGATCGTCTCGCGATCCCCGACGCCCGGAGTGTCTCTCGCGACGGCCGGGTCGTGAGGAGGTTCGTTCCCTCACGCGCTCCGCCTCCTCCTTAGCTAGCATGACCGCTTCGCAGAAGGAGGAGACGGCATCCCAGTCCCCTTCGCTCCGTAACATGGTCTGAACCAGAGCCGGACGCGAGAGGTCGCCGTCGCCGATCACATTCCTGAGGACACGGCGGTGCTCAGTCCACGCAGGACACACCGCCACCGTATGCTCCACCGTGTCCTCCGGGCGATCCTCGCAGCGATGAACCTGTGCAAGGCCCTGTCTTGCACTTGCTGCGCCGCACACTTGGGACATGAACATAATATACTTTGTGTTTTTATGTACCTATGTTTTTTCGTTCTTTCATTACACGATGACGACGTGAAGTGTAAATTATGTTAAGAATAATTATTTTATAACTACGATTAAAAAAACCGCCGTCAATCAACGCTTTTTTTTTTGAAGTCTGTTAATTTATAACAAACACAAAATCGGTTTGATGTGTAACAAACTCAATTCTCCTAGTTGTGACAAACACAAAATCGGTTCACACAATACATGTAATACATACATACATACTATACAAACATACGTACATACAGGTCGATCTTATGACCTTTTTTTGGGCATCAGTTAAAAAAAACGTACGCAAATCAATTGAAAACAGTTTTCAATTTGTATATTCTCAAGTTTTCGATTTAGTATGAACTATCCCTATATGACATGAAATTCCAAACTAAACATAGGCGTTTTAGAATTGTTTGACATCACAGGTCACTGTTGTACATATGAGCAAGGCTGGAATACATTACCATAGTTAATTCAGATTGCGAATTTGAATTAGAAATAGACTAAGGCATGTAGTGCATCTGCGTTCTCTGTAGGTAAACAATACCAAGCTAACACTATGTACTAAGGTCATCTGTAAAGTTTTGAACAATTTTCCATTAAGTACACGTTGTGTTGAATCCGTTTAGCGAATGCTCTTTGTTTTCTAAAAGCAATAAATTGCTTACTATTTGTGATCTTAGTATCGAAAGGCTGGCTACTACTTTTGTCAAAGGTTAAGCATTGCTATTCAATGCGGCAATTTTTAGGCTCCCTACCTCATGGTAACGATGAGGACAATTTTTTTGATGCCTAAAGCTTATTATTAACTAGCGACCCGCCCCGGCTTCGCACGGGTGTAATATGCATGTATTATACATATAAACTTTCCTTAAGAATCATCCTATCCATTAAAAAAACCGCATCAAAATCCGTTGCGTAGTCTTAAAGATCTAAGCATACATAGGGACAGACAGACAACGGATAGCGACTTTATTTTATACTATGTAGTGATTTTGCACGAGGGTGCGTGTTCGAAACCTGCCAATGGCAAGTACTAATGTGACTTATTCCAAGTTATTTGTACTTTTTAAGATTATTTAGACACCACTGACAAACGGTGAAGGAAAACATCGTGAGGAAACCTGGGCTTATAATTTCTAATTATAAGTTTGTAATCACCAACCCGCATTGAGCAAGCGTGGTGATTAATGCTCAAGCCTTAATTCTCCGTGGGAGAAGAGGCTTAGCTTATCAGTGGACACTTATAAGCTGTTGATAAGATGATGATGATGAGATACATTTTAATCATAGATAATATTTACTAAATAATTGTTTAAATAGCGATAGGTATCAATCATGCAAAGTAAAAACTATTTAGTACCTATCATAGAACAGAGTGATTAATAAAGGTTAATCATATGCTAATATAATAAATAATACTATGAACAATTAGGTGCTAATAATTGAGGAATGTATGTTTATGCGTAGAATTTTCTATTAATATGTATCTATTAATTAATATGCTAAACGATTTTAACCAATAGAGGATTCTAAACTAGAATTGTTTAATTAATATTAGATAATAATACCTATAGATATATTAACCAAATTATTTTGTAGCCGTAGCTTCTATAATTTTAATTTTTTTAAGATAGGTACATTATATTATTCGCGATCATCATCACCCTCGTCATGACAGCCGTTTTTTTATTCTTTTAAGACTTCTTTTTTACATGGTTAATATCATCGAGTGACTTCTACCGCCTGGGTGAAGCAGGAGGAAGTGTCAGACTCTTACTGACAAAAAACCACTCCATTCCTACTCCTGCACTTCGAGCCGGAGCCCCAGTAACTTTAAACGTTCTCCGCGGTTCCGTATCAGTATTACACATCTGTGATGGTCTGATGACTCATTGAGGCGCTCGCGGATCACGGCGCGCCATTCGCTGAGGTACGCGCCTACTACTTAGGCCCCTCTCAATAGATTAGTCGGTTTTAATTTATTTTATTTATTTGTAGAAGAAAAGTAACGATTTTTTGTTTGTAGCAATTTTAGTTAGTAGCAATTTTAGTTAGTGGAAATAATGTTGGCGCCTGTTAATTGTATATCATGTTGTGTGGACAAACTTGTGGTAGTACGGTCTGCCATTTATTGTTTTACGTTATTACTCTGTTGTGTACTGCGTTGTGTTTCTGTTTTGTATACCTATTGAATAAATAGAAATCAAGAAGGTGCAAGGTGCAGACGCATTAATTACCGATTTCAAAAACCCACCTCTAAACTATCTCTCAACTAAAATTTGCCAAGCGTGAGTAACACTTAATCTAACTCCTAGCCTCACTGTTGAGCGTCACATAGAGTTGGTGAAAATGGGAGGATAAAGGTGCTAGATTTAAGATTAAATAGTAAACTTTACTCACTGTATCAAGCAGATCAATGATTTTTAGTGAAAAATAGTAATAACAAATTCTTGCTATTTCCAAGCCTTGTGGAGAGTTCGAGAAGTCAACCGGTTCACAAATCCACTTGTAGTCCCATAGCCATGCCACCTGCAATGCCTGAAAAATTGAAACTAAGGTTATTATTTGTACCTATTGAAGTAATATTTAGGTGCAACCAAACCTCGAGTCAAACTATTCTGCAAAAGTTAAGAAATTCAAAGTAACGAATTTGATATTTAGGTCAGAAGATCAAGATCGACTCAGTACAGATATACTTAGTAGTTATTAATGTAGATTTTTTATGGGATAAGCCGGTAAACGAGCCGATGGAACACCTGATGGTAAGCAATCGGCGCCGCCCATAGACACCTGAAACACCAGAGGCGTTACAAGTGCGTTACCGGCCTTATGGGAATTTAAGGATTGTGGGGAGACTGGGCAGGGGAGGGGGATAATTGGGCCTCCGATAACCTCACTCACACGACGAAAAGCGTTGTTTTACGTCGGTTCTCTGTGAGGTATCATTCCGGTCGAGCCGGTCCATTCATGCCAAAGTATGGCTCTCCGACACTTTTTGATAAAAACTTATTAGGTACCTTGTAACCATCGATCGGCACTGTCTCTAAACTATATCTATCTTTATGCCTTTACTACTTACACACTATTTCATGAAATAGGCAAAAACTACAGTGTACGATCCTTCGATAGTTTATTAGTTTCCAATCCATTCATGCAATAATATAAGCATATCCGACTAGATGTACCTACTTCTGCTCAGTAGCAGAAGTATTATTTTTTATCAAAATATACCAGTGTATATTATATAAAAATAATTCTTTCATAACAACCGACTTCAAACCCTCTTTTTTATAATATTAAAACTTAATTAAATTATTAAGTTATCGCCTTACTGACGTAGTAATTTGTCGAGGAACTCGACTAGTTTCAAGCTATGCTAGAGGCTCATATTCATGAGCAGCTTTTCGCGTTCAGTAGCAGCGCGACAGTCGCCGCGTCGTGGGTCGGTAAGCCTCACGAAAGTTACTATAGAAATATTAAAACCTTCTCGTAAGTGTAACAAACACTTTTCTGTTGGTTCGGTTCAGCTTATCCCGAGATAATTGCGTACATTTTAAAGTTGTGTAAAAAACACTTACCCTTATAAAAAAAACACTTACCCTTATAAAAAAAACACTTACCCTTATAAAAAAAACACTTACCCTAATAAAAACGTACGCACAAGCTACAACTTGAAATGAGTTGTACACAATTAGAATTTTATCCAAGTTGTATGGTTGACGGTTCTTCATAAACTTAGGTCCCCATTCTAAGACGAACATCAAATATAGGCCAAGTATTGCTAGAGTTTGATAAGGTTTGGCAATTAGGAACCAGTCTCTAGTCCTGGGATCTGAAAAAATAAATAGTAAGGCGATGATTCGATTCCCGGGTCGGGTAAAGTATTACTGGGTTTTTAAAAATCTCAGTAGTAGCACGGAGTCTGGAAATATGCCCGGTATAATTATGGCAATAAGTTCACCCCTATTACATGGGACTGATGTTATTTTATGTTAAGGTGATGACTTTGATGTCGTAGGTTGATTCCCGCCCAAGTCAACTCTTTGTGTTATCCACAAATTGTTGTTTCGGGTCTGTGATGTGTGTCTGTGAATTTATATGTTTGCTAACGCAGCCACGACGCAGGAGAAAATCCTAGTGTGGGGCAACGTTTTAAAAAAAGATAAAAGAAAGAAGATGAACGTTAGTTATGATTTTGAAGGCGATGACGATGACGATAATGTTGATGGAAATGACGGGTATTAGCCTGTATCAATGATATAACCATCTGTTGATTTGCCTACTGCCAATTCCAATAACCTTGCTCGCAAGGTCGTAGGAAAAGCCGTACACAGTCTCTTGAAACAACGACTGTGGCACCTGACTACTAGATACATCTGAACTACCTAAATATCGTGCCATCTCTGTCATTTTACAAAGAATAAATAGTGACAGATATTTTTAAGAGCGACTTAAAATTGCATAACGTTTGAGTATTTCAGCTATAGACTTACACGCAGAATATGAACACATTGACACGAAGGACATCTGTCATTTTTTTATGTCTGGTAACCTGGTATCCCATTACACACGCACACATAAAAAACCACTGACATGTTGATGCTTCAATCATTTCTAAGTGATTTTCCCAACCAGCAAAAGGTAGTTGTTTAAAGGACCATATTATGTCCGCTTTTTTTTTCAACGCCCTAGCTACTTATCTCAATCCAATGTCTGTGGGTAAGGATCGCTTTTTGACATCAGTTGTAAGGAGTTTTTATCAAAATCAATCTTAATCCACAGATTTTGGATTGTAGGGTCTATGCCTAATTTTTACATTAATGCCCGTCTGGTAGATTATTTTAAATCACTAGACGCGTATTTTTTATTTTCTTACAGAAACGAATACTTTCGGCGATACATTGAATTGAAATGTCACTTGACGTCACTTCTATGAACATTTTATATGTAGGAATGACGTTTTAGTCCCCACTCCTAAACTTTGATTCGTTTTATCTAACTATTATTTCATTATACGACAAAATAAAATAATACGAGTGTAATATTTTTTCATTACCTAACTGACGGACTAATTAGATTTTTAATTTTCATACCCCGTCATCATCCCAATTGGGCAGTAAATAGAGACCTGAATTGAATAACATCATTTTGTATGCGGATTATGTCGAAATTCGCTGTGGAAGACAGACTGCAAACTATAATGGTATCTACGCTTTTAGAGTCCCACCTCAGCTGTCAGTGACCGATGCCTGACAGTAGTGGAGGTTTGTCTTTCGCTATTTTAAAATTGGTAGTTACTTAAAGTGTTAATAGCTTGATACGTGGTACGCAAAAAAGGAAATGGTAATTAAATTAAATAACAATAGATGTCATGACCCACAATTACGATTATTATCGAAGGTTATTCTACAAAAAATATAGTAATTTATTATTGTTGATATATCAACAAAGTTAAGTTAAGAATGTGGTTAAAGCGTTTTGTTTAAATAAGAGCTTTAGGGCTATATTTTACCTTGATATCATGGCGGTTGCGCAACCAAGCGAACACCAGGTAACTAACTCTTTATAGAGCTGTATACATTTTGTTGGTAGTGGCGACGCGACTGGTAGCGCCGCCATGGTATTGCAGTGGAATGTAGTCATTACTTACAAAGACTATGCAAATTAGACGGGATTGACAGTATACGTTACAGAAGTACTAGATGAGTTTCATATCCTATAATATCTACACTGACAGATGCATTATTAATTATTTTAATATGATAAGATGATTTCCTTCCTAAGACACAATATCCTATCAGTGATTTAAGCCGATAACTACACTTGGGAGAAAAAAAAACGCAGCCACTAGTGTTTTTCGTTTTCCATTTCTTGGTGAAATTTTCTGATACCCATGTCGTATAAAAGGGAATTTAGTTACCTTTAACATCAGAGCAAGCAAGCTGTTATTCTTTTTAATTTATTTAGAATTTCTTTGCTCCCAAAATAATTATAGATAACTAGTTAATGATGATGAAATGTAGATTACGACTTTCGACCATTACATCGACAAAGACAACCTGTATACTTTATGTCATTACCGTCAGGTTACTTTTGATGTATTCGAAGTGCAATATAAATTAATTATGTAACAAAGGAAATAAACAAAGCGATGCAATTTCTTATAACTGTCAACGATCACTAATATTATCAATGCGAAAGTTGGTGTTTGTTGTTTTATACTCTTTCACGTCAAAACAGTTGAAGTGATCGAGATTAAATTTGGAACAGAATATTATGATCCGGTATAATATGTATATAGGCCACATTTTATTCTACAGGAACGCAGGCGAAGTCGGATTTTTATATTTGCTGTCTCTTTGATAGACGAAGCGTGAGAAGGCTTCCCGCTTGATGGACCAACTACATCGCCAGAGCTGGGGGAGCCAGTGGATGCTGGTGGCGAATTGTCGTTCAATGTGGAGAACTAAGGGGGCGGTCTCAGTCCAGCAGTGGACGTTTCAGCTGTTAATAATGATGATGATGATATTGATGTGTCTCTTTGTTTGTTTGTCGTCTGCACGTGATGAAAAAATTGAATAATGAAGAAACATGCTTACCAGGTAATTCTTGGAATACGCGTTTGTATCCTTGCCACAGTAAGTCAATGATAGCCGCCATTTTAGTTTATTATATCGCTTCTCTTCTTTCTTATTCCTTTCACTTTCTATTTTGTGAAACTGTCTTCTCCCACCGATCTTTATTTTCAAAATGGATTTCAAACTCAAAACACTTTCCTTTATTACTTTTTTAACAATTATTCCAAAATTGTCCTAAGTCACAATTCATAATTTGTTTTTTATTTTCTTTTTTGGTTGTATTACACCCGCATTTTTTACGACCATTCCAGGCTGATTTCTTTTAAACAACTAATACGATGCTAGTACAATTAATACGATAATAGATTCAGTGTTAAGGGGTATAAATATATTTACATTTTCATTAGTTATGTTCTTATTATACGTTCGATAAACGTTTAGCAGTAGTCCAACTTTGTTGTTCTTTGGAATACGATTTTTACTTCCAAATACTTCATTGTTTGTCTAATCATTAAATATCTTTCATAAACTTGCTGTTTTAACATCGAGTTTAAACAGTAAAATATTTCTGATTTTCTTTTCCTTCCATGACATCATCGTCTTTTTAGGCTTGAAGCAATGTGATTAACCTGTACCATCATTTACTTCACCAAGATACTTCATTTTAACAGAAATTAAAAACGGTGAGAGCTATAAGAAGTTTTCAACTTTCATTTTTATTAAAAGTCCCATAAACGTTCTGATCTAACATAGCTTAAATTATATTTTCTTACCTAAAAGCAATGAGAGCTATTGTGATTCATTAGTTTTGGAAAACCTTGAAAAAGAGCAACCTATGCATTTTCCAGTTCGTTCTCCTCCATAGAAATCAACACATTGGAATGAGTTAATAGCTTTACTTTTAAATTTTTTGTTTACGTTCAAAAGTTTGGACCAGGAAGGCTCCTGGTTCAATCGAAATAAATTATTTTGAGTTTGACTTCTAATTTCTTTTTTAGTTCTGTGGGGTTAGTAAAAACCTGCCAAAACCGAGTCTTTAGTCTTAAATTTTTTGACAAGTGAATAGAAAAAATAAAGATATCTGAATAAAATAAATATACTTTTACATTCTGTTCTGTTCATTGAGAGTGGGTTATATTGTATTCATTGGTTCATAATTACTGACATAATAAATGACCTATTCAAATGAGCATACAGTTCAATTTCAATTCCATCGAAAGTATCCGTACGGAGACCCCGTCTATTTTCTACTTTTTCTTTGTCGATTTCCTCGTTTTAATTAACATAAATAGAAGTCATTGTGTATTTTAAAATGAAGTACTTCATGTCATTGACATTGTAATAGTAGGACAGAGTTAAAAAAGTGTGTTCTTTGTATCTTTCAACCTTATATTGTATGTATGTGTATGAGAATACTTCATTGTTTTGTTGGTATGTAACTGGTGACTTACGTTATCTAACTTACGGCTTTGCAAAAATGCGACAATACTTTCGCTGAATAGTTCAAAAATAAATACTATTTTACTTTACCTTACAGCAATCGCAAGATTTCTGCCTCATTGGCCGAGTGGTCGCAAGTGCGACTGCCGGGCAATAGGTCTCGGGTTCGATTCCCGGGTCGGGCAAAGTAATACTGGGTATTAAAAGAAAAATTCAATACTAGCACGGAGTTTGGAAATGTGCCCGGTATATGACAATAACCTCACCCCCTATTACATGGGATTCATAACATAAATAGTGAAAAGTGGGTGTTACTTCTGTGTACACCTCTACCTATCTCTTCGGGGATAAAAGGCGTGATGTTATGATGTTAAGTTAATCGCAAGATTATTTTTTCAGTCTATTCAACTTGGTCAACGCATCGATATTTTAGGTTTAAAGATCAATCAATATTGATGATCAACTAAAAATCGCGGGTTACTCACGTGAATACACTGAGACAAGCTCTACTAGTTTCGAACCACAGAGGGGTTCTTCCTCATGAGCAGCGTGCGCGGTCGCGGTAATGTCGCGCAGGCTACTGAGGCTGTAGACTATATTCACGTGAGTAACTAACGATTTTTAGTTAATTTAGTATGTCTCACGACAGTTATTATATAAACAAGGATAATGATCCTAGAAAATTGATGTGCTTTCTGTACCAATAAACCATATAACGGTAACATCGTAAGTACACATGTAGGTAGGATAAATATGATAATATATGCATGTTTTCAATTGAGGCCTTTGAACTTCAACAGTTTAATTAGGCCGAAATTCTAACAAAGAACGGATGAGATTGTTTCCTATATAGGTTTACACATGTATACATAATAATAATGTAAATAGATTCAGGTGAATTCTGAATGAATAGGACTAATCTACTTCGCAGAAGATACCTATAGTTTTTACCTTCAATGAGTAGTAAATATACAAGATGCACTTTAACTTCCTTCACTATTACAATTTGATTATTTGACAATCTGTCACGAGAATTTTCGCATCGACCTATATGATACCAGTCAGCGAAACACGACGCCGTCTCTTCGTGTGCAATAATTATAATTATGAGTTTTGTTATAATTTATTTTTATTTATTTAAAAAGCTTTATGCACACAAACAAGCACATGGGTGCACTCAATGCCGCAGGCACTTTCTACCAGTCTGACCCTTGGGTGATGCAGAGAAAGTAATCATTGTATATCTATTAGTTTATTGATGTTTTAATTTTTTGGTATTTGTAATTTTTTAGTTTTGTATTGTATTTTTTTTTGTGTATTATATTTTATATGGGCCACAGTAGCCTGAAATAAAGAAATAAAAAAAAACTATATATATAAGAATTATAAAAATAGGTGAACTTGGCGATCTCACACGGCGTCAGTGCGAAACGTAAGTACCTAGTTGCTAGGCACGACAATTGGGATAATGACAGGGTATGAAAATTAAAAATCTAATTAGTCCGTCAGTTACATACCTAATGAAAAAATATTAGACACGTATTTTTTTTATTTTCTCGTATTAAATTGCAATACTTAGATAAAATGGCACTAAGTTTAGAAGTGGGAGGTCGTTGCTTCATAACGTGCTACAAAATGTGACACGCTGTGACGTCACACGATATTTCAAATTAATATAATTATGGTAGAAAGTATTTAATATTGTTCGAAAAGAAAAAATACGAGTCGAAAGTTTTAAATGAATGTACCAGACAGACATTAAAATAAAATTTAGGAAACTACCCTATTGCATTGGTATTCTACAAAATGTTAGGATGATAATAATAAATTCAAGAAAATACAGATTGTATTAAATTGTTGGCGGCAGAGACGAAATGTGAGTTAAGTGCATTAGATAAAGCTGGAACAAGGAATGAATTATGACTAAAACAAGGCTACAGTGAAAAAAGGTGGTTGTATCATTTGCTATGGATACCTAGTTAATGAGGAGGGATGACAATAAAGAAAAAGGACAGCCAAAGGAAATGTTGAGTGAAGAATGATTGATAAACTATTTTTTTTTCGTTTTTAAGCCTTGCCCTACACTAGGATTTTCTCCTGTATCGTGGGTGCGTTTACGAACATACAAGTTCACATACACACATGACACCCAGACCCAGAAGAACCAATCTATGGATGAATCTCAACACAAAGCAGCCAGTCGCCCAACCATCGCGCCAAACATGCAGTCAACTAACTAGGTACTTATTTTGTTTTTTTATGAGATAAGTCGGTAATCGAGCATACGGATATCCTGATAGTAAGTAATCGGCGCCGTCCATGGACACCTGGAATACTAAATGCGTTACAAATGCGTTACCGGCCTTTTGCAAATAAATAATCTTTGTCTTTGTCGTTGCTTAATGGGGATTAGGAATTTGAGGATTGTTTGGGATTCGGGTATTGGAGAGGGGGACAATTGGGCTTCCAGTATCCTCACTTACACGACGAAATACATCGCAAGCGTTGTTTCACGTCGGTTTTCTGCGAGAGTGTGGTATCACACTTAAAACGACTATTGATTATTGCTCCTCAATGTAATTATTTTAATAATTTCTGTTAGTTTTTTATATATTACAATTAATAACACATTAATTCAAGAAAGCGACATTGTTTATCAATATTGTATTAAGAAAATATTCTAGCGTAGCAACTGCATATGAGTTAACACAGATTCTGGTCTACCAAGTGTCTGAAAACGAATATGGATTCGCTACGGATTCGTTCGCATTTGATACGCACATTATTATAGAAATCATAGAAGATTACCAGTGCGGAACCAAGGTTAGTCGGTTCTTATGTATTAGTATAAATTAACTTATTAATTAGAAAGTTAAATAATTTATTATCATAATTATGAGGAATATTTGATAAGACCCAACCAAATATTATAACTTTACCTACTATTTACTTCAATACTTACAATATTAACTTATTAATTATAATTTGTAATTAATGTTTCACATAAATAATATATTTAATTTGTATTTGGCTGAATCATTTTTGCTAAATAATAACAATAGCTTACGTACCACGCTCATTATACACGTGCCATGAAAAGTATTAGCGGTAGTGAATTTATAATGTTTAGGTGACAATTACAAATATACTTACATTATATATATACTTTTTTTTAAGGGGGGAAAATCATCGAATGACTGCTCTCGCCTGGGTGAGGCGGGAAGGACCGTCAGACTCTTACTGACTAAAAACCTCCCCGTTCCTTCTCCTGCACGTTGAGCCGGAGCCCCGGTTACCCGTTAGGTATTATATATATACCAGGAAACTTACCGATAAAAACAGGCATATTTCTGTTGTCAGGAGGCAGTAGACCAGCGAAAGCGTCTCCCAGAGCCGAGGCATGTTGGAGGTTGTCCAGTATGATCACTATATGTTCTGTGTATATACTAGTGTACATTTTTGAATCAATATCGTGACAAACTAATTTTGCATGACGTAAGTAAGTGAACAATATTGACCGCTCTATTTGGGAGCTTATTTCTTTTTGAAGGGATGGGTAAAAACGGTACTTATATATTTCATAGAATCGGACAACTCACGATTTCGACTTTAGATACTCACATAAAGTTACATCTGTGGTTTTTTTTCACGGGAGCAGGCAAGAACTCTAGAGTACCTACCTTTTTTTCGTTAACGAGGGAAACCGTCAAAAAGCTACCTAACAAAGAATTTTTTCATACTGCACTTGCTTGAGTGAAGTGTGTTTTGCATCGCCCCTTTAAGTATTCACGAGCTTTTTGAATTGATTTTTTTCACGAAACGAAACTCAGAGGTACTTTTTTTAAAACCTCTCCCACCTGGTTGAGGCGAGAGGAATTCAGGTGCTTTTCACGCAGGAAACTTCGACATGAATATTTCCAACTTATTTTTTTTTATTTAGATAACACATGGAAAACTGTCAGCTATACTGTGAATTTATGTAAATAACTACCTCATCAACAGCCTATAAGTGCCCACTGCTGAGCAAAGCCTCTTCTTATACGAAGAAGGATTGAGCATTAATCACCACGCTTGCTCATGAAGGTTCGCGATTACAAACTTATAATTACGGGTTTCCTCACGACGATTTCCTTCACCGTTTGTCAGTAGTGTCTAGATAATCTTAGAAAGTACATACCTATAACTCGAAAACAATCACGTTGGTACCCTACCCGCACCCTCATGCATGAGACGCGGGCGCCTTAAAACTACACTACACTACACCAACTTGTCGTGGTGGCCATCACAACAAATAACTACCTATGTTTATAATATTATATTTCATAGTTGGTTTGGATTTCACCGAACGGGTGGAGGAAAACACCATAAAGAAATCTGAACCTTATTTTGGGTATCAGTCAAATCAAATTAAACAGGGTTAGTAAAAGAGCGTGTCAGGAAGATTCCCTTAATACAATGTATTAGCAATAATCACTATAGCGTGAATAGCAATGTAGTAGGCACGATGGTAAAACGTTATTAGAATTTTCGATTTTCAATATTTTCAGTGTCACCATGAAGTCTGGATTGCTCGACACTAGTCCGGCAATAAGAGATTAATTGTTGAACTATGTATATACCTAGCTTCCTTTTATTACTTATAATGCTGCGTTATGTTTAATTGCAAAGAAAAATATTCTAATAAAGAAATGGTCATGGGTGTGATAAAATATGAGGATATTCATTTTCTCCTCTCCTAATGGACACAAGATCTGGCACAGCACAACAATCTTTTAAAAATCTCCAACTATTTATTTTTAAAACCAATATTAAAAGTTCATTATTGAATTTGTTATCTGCATATAAGTTTTCCGTCCAAGTGGCATGTGGAACACCCTGTATATTAAAGGAAAAATATCAAACACCAAGTTACTGTATAAATAATATTTATTATTTACATAATTATGATATGTCATAGAAATAAAGATAAAGATATTTTTTACACTAAGATACAGTTCAGCAACAGGAAATATAAAAATATGTACAGGCGCTTTACAAATAAAGCGATTTGAGCTAGCCATTTAACTTCAAAAACCAACTTTATAGAGAGGGCATAAAGTTAATATTAAAGTTAATTAATATTGCAAAAGACGACCACAAAACATTCACCTATAAGATTTAGGATCAATAAAATTATAACAATACAAAAGTATCACATATCGGTAAGTAAAAATAAACCTAGTCAAAATTGTGATGTGCAAATGAGTTTAAAGCTTAAACTCTCAATTTTATGGTCGATTCTAAAACAGATGGAGGAGCAATAGAATGCGAAATTGAAACACTACCACCGTTAGACTCAATTCTTAACCTTCAGCTTTGAAAGCAGAATCAACTTCATTGTGACTTCAGACAAATGGGCACGAATTGTTTTTTGGTTCCTTGCACGTAGCTGTTGTAGTAGAATTTTCCAAACATGTAGAAGAATGCGAAGCAGTTCATCATGACGAAGATACTTAAGTACTTAGGATAGTTGCAACTGCTTGAGAATAGGCTGTTGACATTCAAGTAGACGATGATGCAGAACTGGATCTGAAAGAAAAAAAATGGTTGCCTGTAAAGTCGTTTTTACGGGCGAAGATTTTACGTGACAACGTCTTTTTCTCGGTAGAATATTTATTGATATGAATATAATTAAATTGCACAATAGGAACAAGGAATTGAATGAACTAGTGCTGCGCGCGCGGCAGACCGATCATAGTTGAGTGGGAGAGAGACGCAAGGCATTCGGCGGGCCTCTCTCTCGTTCGGTGACTCATCGTAACGTTACCGAGCGTTACACTTTTTCATAAGTGACTCCCAGCCGCAACCTAATTTAAGACGTTGTCACGTCAACAAATATTGAAGTTATTTGATGTTGATGTAGTGAGTTAGTTGAATTAATGTTGAGCTCATTGTGAGTAGAACTGGATTTGGGTAAGTATACAATTGAAATTGAATGTTTATTAGTTTCTAAAGACGTTACCAGTTGCAGGATTTATTAGTAATGTCTAGATGGGAGTGAATTAGTTATTAGAAACTAAATGGCACGGTTGGTGCGGTAGCTGGATAACCGACTGCCGCGCAATGTGTAGCGGGTTTTGATTCCCGCACGGAGCAACTCTTTATGTGATCTACATATTATTTTTTCGGGTATGGGTGTCATGTGTATGTGAAGTGTATGTTTGTAAACGCATCCACAACACAGGAGAAAAGCCTAGTGTAGGGCAACATTTTTTAAAACAAAAACAAAAACTGTATGCTAGTTAAGACTAACTATATCTCGCCCATAGTTAGATAACATACTTAGTCTAGAGAAATATTGGCTGAATAAATTGTCTGTTAATCCAGGTATCAGCTATGATTATGCTACCTAATAGTTTACAGAAATGAAAAATCTTTACCAGTTGCATAGTAGTGAGATGCTTCTTCCACCACAGGTACTTCTGGTACTGGGGTCCAAGGCCGGAGATCAAGTAGTATGTGTACATAACTACGTGGATAAACGCGTTAATGCAACCCTCGGGAATCGATTGCCCTCCTGAAAATAGACAATAATATTTATATTGTAGTTTTCGTTGACAAAGCTACTAAATTAATTATAATATTTTTCGGTTTTTTCACGTAATTCACGATCGCGGAATGCTGCACATGAATATGAGCCTCTATCATCATGGCTTGAAACTAGTCGAGTTCCTCGTCAAATAATTACTTGAGTAAGCCGAAAAAGATAATAATTAATTTAGACAATAATAATTTTAGCTTTTTCTTTTTTGGCATATGCTTAGTCAGGAAAGAGGGTTTAAGGTTTCTTCGCATAACTGAATGCTGTTAAATATTTATAGAATTATGATCATAATAACATTATTTCGACAATAGCAATAGCAAACTGCGATCAAAATATTTGACAAACATAAACTATATCATGATCAGCGTAGCGCCAATTTCAGTTAATTCAATTTAGAATTAGTGCCGTATCCAAGATTGTCTTCCAGTAGTTGCGAAGAATCCGAAAAAGGAACATGCAGAATTGATATTTGAACATTACAATCATGATTCAAGAATTTACTACTAATGCTTTATTTACCTTTAATTAATATATAAGACAATATGAAAAACATACCTGCGGCATACTTGACTCCAATCCACCCAATGATGGGCATTATACTGTGATGGTAAAGATGGAGGAAGGAGATCTGTCTATCCTTCTTCCGAAGCACGAAGAAGACTGTGTCCAACAGTTCTGTGATCTTGGCGAAGAAGAACCACCAAGCACCTGACGCCCACTGCAAGAAACAATGGTTTCAAATAAGTAAAATCAAAATAGCATGTGTAAACTAAGACATGTTATAAATATTATTCTCTAAAAGCTTATGAGACAGTTTATTTGAGTGATTATTCAAAACCTATGTTTTTCTACTCTCCATGGCTGTTAAGCATCAAAGTAGCTTGCAATATTCTTTTATGTTTTATATTGTTTTAGGGCAGCCTAAGAGACATTGTAAAGACTGGCACCCTGATGATAAATCAATGCGGTATTGGCGCTGTGTAATTTTTGAATCTGAGACCTTGACCTTGATATTATTTCGTAGCTTAAATTCTTAGGACTCGGTTTGTCACCAATACTAGTAAAGATTCCCATGATACACCTAATTGCTTAATTTGTCAACCAAAATATATCAAATCATTTTTTGAATCACAGATGTTTATACATTTTAAACCACGTATTTGACATCAATGATTAATTCGTGTTAACATAACGTCAAAGATTATTATTATCTAATTATATCAAGATTAACACTAGTGGATCATTACCTGAAGAAATTTTGTCATTGTTTTTAAATATTTCCGTTTATTTTTTTCGTCGTACTAAATAATATTAATTATATTTGTCATACAGACACCTATTAGGTAGGTATTATATTTAATTTTTCTAAAAATAAAAAGTTTATTTATTTATACTTTATTGCACACACAGATAAAAAAATTGTAAACATTTTTTGAAAGTTAGATTTGAGCACTGCTTTCTCTGCTTCTACGTGGAGTGAATTTTTTTTGCCTAAATGCTCATATAAATATATCTAGTTTGAAGTGCTCTGGCGCGCGAACTACTAACAATATAAAAAGCTGCCAAGACATAAATTGAAGAAAATTGTGAGTAGTTTAATTTTGTATTTAACGGTTTTCTCGTAGAATGCACAAGAAAAGGAACATTAAAAAAAAAACAGTTTTTGGCCGCCATTTTTCCGAGTTGGCGGTGCGAGTGGCACACGTGCAAAATTAAATGTGAAAAGTGGAAATCGAAATGAAATCTACAAAATTGCCGTTTTTCCCCTCATATTTCCTATTTAAACTGTTAAACACCGCGCGGTCACCGGTGACCGCAACCTATTGTTCTTAAATTGTGTCTATAATGACGGTACTCAACGAGTTAAGGTAACGAGTTAATTATCGAACTACAAGTTCTATTTCAAATTAATCTTATCTAACACGAATAAGCAGTATCCGGATAAACTAATTGCTAAAACCAACTAATTGTGACGCATCGAATGGAGATTCCGAGCGATCAGCCATACATTGGTGACCATATCATGTACGTGATTATTCTACAGAATCACAGTTTGTTTGTTATCAAACAACATGTTTTACCTTGCCTTTTGATGTAAAGACACGACATGTCTGAGACATACTTTACGTTCTTATTCATTCACTATTATTATAATACGTCTTATTGTGTTAAAGTACGCAAATGAGTTTTGTAAGAGTAAATACTCTCATTTTTCGCTAGTTCCACTTCGTTATTGTATTGTATTCCTATTAAAAGTTATCTAGTAATGGATCCAAAATAAATTTTCTGAGATAAATCCCATTTTTGAATAAATACCGGTATAAACCATAAATACCGGTTTTGTAGACACAATTATATACCATAAATACCGGTTTTGTAGACACAATTATAGAACAATAGGTTGCGGTCACCGGTGACCGCTTGGTGTTTGACAGTTTAATGTCTAATTTCAGATATTTCAGATAAAAAAAAATTTCTTATTGAAGATATACTCTTTTCAGGTCACTTGAATTTCATGTCTGTTTTGTCACTGAAAATACTTTGTTCTGAATTTCTCAATTAATTGAAACAAATTGTACAGTAATTTGAAAGGGATAAATAGACGCATCCATTCAGTATTCAGTTTTCCTTTCAGGTTATAATAAATTGCAGTTATACTACTGCTTTGTAAAACAAAACTGTAGAACTCGCTAACATGACTAAGAACAAGTGGGTCGTAAATACATCACATGGCATATATACTTCTGTTTATTCTATTCTTATTATTGCCTATATATCTATTAATATTATATTATGTTAATAGGGGTAATGTTATGTTATTAACTGTGCATTTGACATGATATAACTTTTCAGTTTTTCATGTCCCAGAATAATGCAGGCAGTACAAAATGAAAAAATTTTCGAATGATATTTCAGTACGTTAAATTACAGTAATAACAAGGAAGTCGTTAAACTATTATATAACCATTTATTTTCAGTTAAGGAAAATGTTTTACCATTAAACTAAACAATACAATTTACACATCTAACTACTCAATGTAAAAAATTACAAAAATTATGCGACATTTTGTAGCAAAAATATAATTTGCATTGTCAAGTAAAAAGTATTGAACGTAACATTATATTTTTTATCCCTGCGGTAGGCAGACGTGCACATGGCACTAAATGACAGCACGGTTGGTGCGGTGGCTGGGCAACCGGCTGCCGTGCAACGTGTCGCGGGTTCGATTCCCGCACGGAACAACACTGTGTGATCCACAAATTCTTGTTTCGGGTCTGGGTGTCATTGAGTATGTGAACTTGTATGTTTGTAAACGCACCCACGACACAGGAAGAAATCCTATGTGGAGAAACGTTTTTGTAAAAAAAAAATGCCACTGCAACACTCACTTTTCACTATTTATGTAGTGAGTCTCATGTAATAGGGGGTCAGGTTACTGCCATATACCGGGCACAATTCCAGACTCCGTGCTACCACAGAGAATTTTTTGAAACACCCAAAAATATTTAAAAAATTCTTAAGTGAACGTTTTAATTTTTTTTTCTTTTCTTTTAATTATGTTTTAGCTTTGCCGTTTTAATTATGACTTCACAATTATTGTTAATGGCATCGGAAGCCTCAAAAATTAAAAAAAAGAATTTCTTCGCCTACTGCTGCATCTTATTGACAAAAAGTTTGTAAATTGGAAAACCTTAATCTATACCATTAAAAAAAATAGAAAAAAAAAATACCAACTTTATTTTTTATTTCTTAACCTTAATAAATTATTGCCTAATAATTTATATAAACGCAGAAACACCTCTATCCATCTATTACACAAATACTAAATTTATGATTTTGTAAAAAAATACATCATAAATTTATTTGTAAAATCTTAACTATGTAAGTACCCATATTGATACAGAAACTGTCATTAAATATTGAACTCAGAACAGTAAACACAAGTCACATTATTGTTTGCTTTGTAGTGCTTAAGTCTATATTATTTATCCTTATTTCATTTGTAACTGCAACATACTCATACATATGTGACTGTTAGTTCAACACGGTCTAATGTTTGCTGGTCATAATTAAGAGAATTTATTACAGTTTTGGTTCGATGACTGCTTTTTGGAGTAGTTTGCACGTGAAGGTAGCTATTGGAACAAAATATATTACACAGTGTGACATTTATACATTTTTTTTTATATTTGATGGGGCGACGTTTGACCACTATCTCGCCTGTTGGTAAGCGATGATGCAGTCTACGATGGAGCACGTCGTCCAATAAGCAACCTATTCACTCGGGCCTTGAAGACTCCCAAGTTGTACCCTTTAGGAAATACCGACTCTGGCAAAGAATTCCACTCTTTAGCAGTACGCACAAGGAAGCTTGAAGCGAAGCGCTTTGTGCGTGTGGGCGGAACATCTACCATGAATCGGTGACGCTTCGCCGATTGTCTTGTGGTACGATGATGGAAAGGACTAGGGGGAATCAAGTTGTGCAATTCCCACATTACATTTACAGTATTATTATTTTTGTTATGTAAAAGTTTATTTTATATAAAATTACTTTCTCGCATTAGATTAAGAATGTAATGATAAATTTAATACGTGTGCAATAAATATTTTTTATTGAGGATTTGGGAGGTCATTAGCTACCTTTTTCCTATAAACTCTTTGTCCCAAATTTCACGATTTTTTTATTGTAATTATATTATTCACAGCGTTTCTTAAACAGAAAATAGCTTATAGTATACCAAAATATACCTTGTTGTACACTCCAAAGTCTATTAAATCTATATACACCGTTTCGTGATACAAATGATTATTTATTCACATGTCTGAAATATTTCACCTTATAAATTATTTATAAAACAAAGTACCTAAATGCTATTTTGATCTTAGTTTTATTTTTATAATTATCATTTCTGTAAAAATAATCATATGTACCAACCGTGACATTTGGAACAAAGAGTTTATAGGTAAAAGGTAGCTAATAACCTCCCAAATCCCTGAAATTGTGTCGGCCATGCGCCAAACACCCTTTATAAACGTAGGTATATTGTTATTAATTATTGCTCAATGGGTTGCTGAATGGTATGAGATCGATGTGAACGTGTCACTAGTTTGGGATCCTATTTATTGTTTGCAAATATCCATCCAAACATTATATAAGTAATAATACTAGCTTTTCTTATGTTTTACGGCTTACTCACGTAATTATTTGACAAGGAAACAGCCAGTGGCAGAACGACAGTCGACGACGCGGGTTGCAAAATGCTGCTAATGAATACGAGCCTCTTTCATGGCTTGAAACTAGTCGAGTTCCTTGTCAAATGATTACGCGAGTGAGCCGTAAAGCATAATAATTAATTTAGTATGTCTCACGAAAGTTATAATATACATAGATAAATGGTTCTGTCTGTAGCTTCACTTGTCATAAATAGACAAGAAGTACTAAATTTATATATTTTTTCAGACACATACTCTTGAATGACGGTTTAGGGCGGTTTACAACCAAAGTTAATGAAGAAGCGATGTCAAATAAAATCCTCAGACTCAAGTCGATTTAAAAGGTACACCTTTACATTCATAGGATTAATTAAAAAGCATGTAGGAAGATTGGGATGATTACTTACCAGCATTGCTCTGGGGTTGTCTGAGTAATCCACGGAATAGCATTTGTTCTCATAACTCTCAGTAAGGAAGAAAGAGAAACCCTGGAATAAAAATAGAAAATATTTAAAATATTTTTAATTTATTTTTCTTGTTACCTACCTGTACTTAGCATATTATACAGAACAGTATTAGGTCAATATATGTACAATGAAATAAGATAAAAAGTTTAGTATATCCTTAAAACCTTTCGCACTTATAATATTAGAAAGATGTTTATCCTAAATTCGATTTTGAAGAGAAAGATGCGTTAAAATAAAACTCGAAAAACTACAACTTAGAACACATTAAAAATTATTTACACTATTACCGTTATTTACTTTATAATTATATAGAATGTATTACAATAATAATTCTGACTATTAATTAAGTTGTCAGCAAAAAAAAGATATTTTGAATAATTTGATAATACAAATAATGCTAATAGTCCTCACATCAATATTAATCAGGTTAAATTATGTCTGAAATGTTATAAAAAGAAGTATGAAATTACCGATCCGACGAAAACCTTTTTTTTTGGTAATTGAAAGATGCCTAAGCCTAATTATGATTTTTTTTTCATAGTTTTCATTAAACCTTGTGATGTTTCACTGAGATGAGAATAATTAAAGTAGAACAACAATCTTGATGCGTGAACTATTTTCGTTTTTTTAATATTCGAGTTAACTGCCATGAATTTTACACTAACGTTGACTATGATTTAATATCAGTAGTTGTATCTATTATAATATACTTTTTACGTTATAATCATAATAAATTAATACTTAAAAATATTCATAAGTACACATTGAAATTCTTTGTTGGTCTAGTTACTATATACATAGTTTTTGATTTAAGTTTTTTGTACATCATATATCTGTCCAAGACAACAACAATAGACGATAGTCTATCATAATTTAATTTTAATATTGTAAAATATTGTATTACTAACCATTTATTATAAAAATCAAATTGTAAGCGGAATATAGAAAAACAAATCATTCTTATTCCTATCCAAATCCTATATCAAACCCCTTATAATTAATGGCAGTTTTGTAATTAATAATAGAATCGAGCTTCAACTATGATTTTCATACATCAAGAAATATCAATGAATTCCCCGATTTAACATATATATAATTATCATCACGCCTGTCTCCCACAGACCCCCATAGGACACAGACAGGTAGAGACTATGGACCACCAATTGGTACGGTTTTTAGCTACTTTCGTTTCGTCAGCAGTTTTCAATCCTTTCAAGCATACTTGTCAGTTAAGGGTACATTTAATTAGTCCCTTCTTTCATATAGGTATCACCAATCTGATCGATTGTATGTCCATGTCCATCTAGAGCGCCCTCAACTGACGGTCTCATTCATATCCGCTTTGTATAAATCTTCCATAACTCTGCTTTCATCCATTCATTCTACATGTCTAAACCATCGTTATTGTAAACAGAGATCCCAATTTAACAAATTTTTTTTTTTTTTTTTTTTGGAATATATAACCCGGTAAACGAGCAGACGGATCACCTGATGGTAAGCAATCGGCGTCGCCCATGGACACCTAGAACACCAGAGGCGTTACAAGTGCGTCACCGGCTTTTTGGGGATTAGGAGTTTGAGGATCGTTGGGGATTCAGGGATTGGGGAGATTGGGGAAGGGGAAGGTAATTGGGCCTCCGGTAACCTCACTCACACGACGAAACACAACGCAAGCGTTGCTTCACGTCGGTTTTCTGTGAGGCCGTGGTATCACTCCGGTCGAGCCGGCCCATTCGTGCCGAAGCATGGCTCTCCCACACTTGAATAAAAACTCTTTTTAGGTAATGAAGCAGCAAGAATAATCTTATAAAGTAAGGACGTAGAGAAAAAGGCGGATATAATGTCACTTAGAAACGGTTGTAGTACCAGAATATCAGTGGGTTATTTATGTGTACTTGCGTACCACATTAACAGACTTAAGAAAATGACAGATGCATTTCGTGTCAATGTACATATTTATGATGTGCGTGTTATTCTATAGTAGTCTGGTGCCATACCTACAGTTGTTCTTTCAAGAGACTGTGTCCGCTTTTCTAATAACGTCCTTGCAAATAATTATACTTACAAGAACAGTCATGAACAGACTGAGAATGATCTGGAAAATATTGTAGACCATCACAACTCCTTTTAGATTGTAAGGCTTTTTGTCCTTCATATATCGTGGTCCTGCCTTTGTGCAGAAGTAGAGGTACGTTGCAATTATTGTGAGGAGTGGGCCAGGGCCTGATATTAGCCACCAGTCCTTTGTCCGAGGGTCTGAGGAGAAGAAAGGATTATTAGAAACTGGATTACTGATTTGTGAATGGTGGTAGTTTCTTAAACAATATATCTGGAAGGCCTATGTTTACGTCCTGTGAGGATGACGATGTTAAGTATCATCATCACGTTTGAATATCTTCATCATCAGCTAGAATACGTCTACTGCCTGAACAAATGTCGTCTTAAGAAGGGCATTAATCCCTATGTATAGCATCTGACCTAAATTGCTTACCATCAGGTGATTCGTCTACTCGTTTACCGGCTTATCCAATAAAAAAAAACAACAAACAATATTCAGCCAAGTCTATGTTATCAAAATATGACGTTTTCAGAGGAAACGAATTCAATTTAGTAATTCCTTATTATTGTACTAGCTATGTTCCGTGGTTTTATTGATAAAAGCCCATTATCTGTACCACAATATTTATGCTTCTCGTGTATAAGAGTGCGGCTTCGAAACTTGCCAACATAAAGTACTAATATGATTTTTTCCGTGTTATAAATAAGCACATTGATTATTTAGACACCACTGATAAAAGGTGAAGGGAAACAAGAAGAAACCTAGGCTTATAGTTTCTAATTATAAGTCTGAAATCGCCAACTCGCTTTGAGCAAGCGTGGTGATTAATGTTCAAATCTTCTCCGTGCGAGAAGATGCCTTTAGTCAGAAGTGGTTACTTCCAAGTTGCTAATGTACGAAGTATGTTCCACAGTATTGAGGCATTACGTTACCATAACCAATATTAAGCATAGTCTTCCTCAAAGGATAAGACAACACCCATTTGGATTAACAATATATGAAATCATTTGATCAATTTTAATAATTAGTATCTGAATAGCATCCTCCATTATTATTTTCTGCTTTGTATCAAAAAATTTATAGTTATCAAATAATAAAACAACGTACCAAAGCATATTAAAAAAACAAAGTCATAACAAATTGTGTTACATAATTTAATACTGTCAGCAAATTTATTAAATGCTGAACCCGCACCTTGACCAACAACAACTTACATTAGATACCAGCCAATAAAAGTCCAGTCAAAATCAGTACAGTCATTTCTGAGATTAGTCAGTACAGACAGACAGATAGTTAGACAAACTTTGTAAAAAGTGCCATTTAGGTATATTATGTATCGTATGTATATTCATATGCATATAGTAAAAAGCGGTAATTTCAATAGTACAACCAGATAATCCCATTGTATTTATCTGTATAGATGTTATTAGTGATTAGTAGATTAATGTCATCAATATAAATCTTTCCTTACTAATATTATAAATCGGAAAGTGAGTTTGTTTGTTTGTTCCGATTTCACGCCGTAACTACTAAACCGATTGCTTTGAATTTTTGCAAACATAAAGTTAGAAGACTGGATTAAATGATAGGATACTTTTTATCCCGGAAAAATATAATATTCCCGAGGGAACACAAAAGTATTGGTATAGATGGCGCTGTATGTATAGGTATATATCATATGGGCTACTTTTATCCTTTTGTGACGCGAGCGAAGCCGCGGGTAAAAGCTAGTACGTTATATTTCAAATAAGTACATTCCTAATAATGTAGTAACAACACGGAGTTTGGAATTAAGGTATAGCCCAGTGTACGAGACTAAACTGACCCAAAATAAAAATATATGATCACAAAAAAAATGATGAAAAGACGGTATTACAATAAACATTAGCATATTACCTGTTAAAAACTACCAATAATAATTAGGTAAATAAATAAATAACCAAATTCTTTATTTTATTTTGTTTTTATGACCTACATAATAACAATTATATTCACGCCTTTTCATGATTTTTTTTAATCCTCTGATAATCTGAGTTACAGTGGCAGGTCAAGCTACTCTCCTTGGTCAATAGATTTTCAACTCTGACGTTTAAGTATAAAGTCTAAAATCCAATGACAAAAATATACACATTGGAGTAGGTTGGTGCTGCAGGTCACTGTACATATGTACTTACAATGTAACACTCACTTTTTATCACTTATGGGCAAGTCCCATAATATAATGACCCCATAGTCAGCTCATAGAATTTATTTACAAAATAAGGAAAAATATCCAAATCACTCACCTGATAATTCGTCAAAAACATAATGGTATCCTTGTAAGGCTTGCTGGACCACCGCCATTGTGATTTAATTATATCAAAAATCGTATTTAAATTGTCACAACAATCTTCTCTCCACAATACTATTCACTTATCAGGTGCAAAATTATACTTAAGTAATTATATCTATAAATAAAAAAATATTAATATTATGTCCTCGTGTCCGACCCAACTGGTCTGCGCAAGAGTTTCACGCAGACTAAAACATTGATTAACAAATATTAAGTTTTATATTTCGCCACGGGTTCGTGATGCGTCGATGATTTGTAATTTCTTAATAATTTTGTGTTGCTTCGGGAAATTTTTTTTTGACTTATTGTCTAGCCAACAGACATACTGTAACATAAATGTATTTTTTTTTGTCAGTGACTACGTGCTTCGGAACCAATTTCTGCATGTTTATGAGACTTGATATATTGGTTTAATTAGTACCATGGAGTAAATAATGCATTCCTTAAAATAATATTGTATTACAATATAATAATAGTATCTTACATTATATAGACGTGCCGGTAAAGATAGTAACTTGTAGTCTTTTCCATGATTTAAAACTAATTTCTTCTTAAATAAATATTTTTCTATAAACAGAAATATATTTTACAATTATAATATTAAATTAATAAAGTATTTACACTAAAAATATAGAACACTATTATCAAATTAGGATTAATGAAAAATATTGCACAAGAGTTTTTATACGTCAATAGGACATATGATATTTCCCCTATACTTATTATACTGTCGCTGAGAACCTAACGGGTAACCGGGGCTCCGGCTCGACGTGCAGGAGAAGGAACGGGGTGGTTTTTAGTCAGTAAGAGTCTGACACTCCCTCCCGCCTCACCCAGGCGGGAGCAGTCATTCGATGATTTTCTCCCCTTAAAAAAAAAATCTTATTATACTTTTTGTATATTTTACATTTCATTTTGATTAATAGACTATTTTGTGTAATGTATCAGTTACCTTTTTTCTAGTCTTTTTGCACGCGCTGGACTTCAGTGTTTTTTATTATTATATAGAGTTTGCAGCGGTTTCATTCAGGAGGTTGTTGTGGGCTTACACCAATAAAAATAAGTGTTTTTGTGTAAAAGCGAAATAAACTTATTTTTTTTTATTTACAAAGGGTTTTGTCGCAATTAGGTACAGAACCACACCTAACAGAAAACCGACCTAAAGCAACACTTGTGTTGTGTTTCGTCGTAAGACTGACGTTACCCAATTAAACCCCTCCCCTTTCCCAATCTCCACAATCCCTGAATCCCCAACGATTTTCAAACTTCAAATTCCCAAAACCCGGTAAAGCACTTGTAACGCCTCGAGTATTCCAGGTGTCTTTGGACGACAGACGGATTATGCCAAAAAAAAATGTGGCCTACCGTATTTCTGCTCACCAGATGGCACTAGTTTCAACCGCTCGTTCTTCGTCCAATAGGGAATTAGCTACTAACACATCATTGGACGATCAATATTTGACAACTTCTGTGATTGGCCAAAATACCCGTCTTTTTTCCAATGCATACGTACGTATTTTTATTAACTTCATTGCATCTTAAAATCAAGAATGTATGTGTAAATATTTTATGAATACCTATTTTTAATCTACATTCCTAGTCAATAATTTATAATTGGTTGAGGAAATAGTCATACAGTTCGCTTCCAAAAGGATAATTCTATAGGCTACGACTTGTCTTTTTGTAGTAGCCAGAGCCGTGCCGAGCCGTGAACCGCGTTCGCCTATCTGATTGGTCGGTTCATTGGAGCTGGCCAATCAGAGCGCCGAACGCCCTCTGTTTGTTTGTTACTCTTTAACGTAAACTTAGAACGGATCTGAATGAAATTAGAAATGGATTATTGTCTTAATTAACACGTAGGTTAGTACTTCCCTCTATATCCCGACCAAGCCATTAAACTGTCAAACACCAAGCGGTCACCGGTGACCGCAACCTATTGTTCTATAATTTTGTCTATAATGACGGTAATCGATGAGTTAGAAACTAGTGGTAGGTAAGATGCAAATCTTAGAATAGCACAACAGATTTATTTTACCTAAGTACGTATATTTATTATTACCTACACGTTATAATGGTCTATAAGTACCGGTAAAAAGTGTCATTATCATGCAATTTCTTAGTAATGAGCATCGTTTAGTAATATTTGCTTAAATTACAATACAAATAATCATTTACAAAATTCAAATTAAATTATATAGTCACATTATATGTGCATATTGCTACGTCGTTGGCCAAGTGGTTGCAAGTGCAACTGCCGTGGCTATAGGTCTCGGGATCAAGACCAAAATAACTCTGGGTTTTAAAAAAAAATCTCAGTAGCACGGAGTCTCGAATCGTGCCCGGTATGCCATATTATATACCTACCTTACCTCCTATTACATGGGACTCATAACATAATAGTGAAAAGTTGGTGTTACACTGTACAGTGGCATTAAGTGCCGTAATGTGCACCTCCTCTCCGCCTGCCCCTTCAGGGATAAAAGGCTTGATTTTATGTTGTGTACGTACGTAAATAAAAATTATACCCAGAAGCAAATTAATGTTAAAGTTAGTCATAGCAATTGTAATATTATAAGTTATATAAAACACTAGTCTAGCATAATATTTATCTTCATTCTTAGCTATTTAATTCTAACAATAATAACAATTTGTAGGTGCAAAATGCAGGACAATGTTAGTAGAAGTGATTGCTATCTGTTTAATTGCTACATACTCTGTAGGTGGTCCATGTTAGTCTATACATCTATACAGATTTATAAAATCGGAGTCTGTGTTTGTATTAAAATACCCGCGTTTTTCTACATAGATATAAATATACATACGATTTTTTTTTAAGGGGTGAAAATCATCGAATGACTGCTCCCGCCTGGGTGAGGCGGAAGGGAGTGTCAAACTCTTACTGACTAAAAACCACCGGGTTCTTACTCCTACACTTCGAGCCGGGAGCCCTAGTAATCTTTTACGTTCTCCGCGGCTCTGTATAATGAAATAGGATGGTGGAGACCTATTGGGAGGGTATTTTGTTTTGATATTGGATGATACCAGTTGCATTGCTAATACAAAAAAGCTGACTTCGATGTCCAACGTGTAACAGATTGTTCCTATATTATAATTTACATTTCTCGATTCATTTTTTGTAAACAAATAAAGAAAGTAGTATTACATAATACACATATTTATTTTAAATACAATTAATCGATTTTTTTAAATAAAATTCCAACCAACCTTTGACCTTAAACCGATACGCATTTAAAATCATGTAGTAAAATTTAATTATTGAAAAATAAAAATTGGGTAATAAGTCATTGTTCTGTCGTTCAGTAACCTTTTCATTTATTTTGCGACATATGTATTATGTAATTAAGAGTAAATATTACGGCGTTTCATATTATTATTTTTTATGGGACAAGCCCGCCACAACCACAACCTCTTAAAACCGCTATAACTCCTGCAAACCAGAATCTACAGTAGATACAACCTGAAAACACCGGAACACTGAAGTCCGGCCCAGGGACATGAATAACTGTCTTGGTTTCCGCAACGAAGTGTATTAGAAGCATTGATTAGAAGATATTATTATTACCTGACAATTTCTAACGATGTGTTTTCATTCTTTTTTCTGTTTTTAACAGCGCCTTTAATAGTTTAATAGCAATACAATGTTATGTAAAACAAAACTCGATACCAGGATTGCAATCAAGGTATATTGAAGGCGCCAACCAATAACAAACGTCTGCCAAGAATTATAAAAATTATGAACAGCTACACAATAAACACACACACACATCATATTCAGATTCGTATCAACGACTTGTATACCATCAAAGAAGACTGCGACACAAGAAAAATCCAAATCTTCCAGATAAGAAGGTACTTTTTTCAAGGGCGGAAAATCATCGAATGACTTCTCCCGTCTGGGTGAGGCGGGAGGGAGTGTCAGACTCTTACTGACTAAAAACCACCCCGTTCCTTCTCCTGCACGTCGAGCCGGAGCCTCGGTAACCCTATAGGTTCTCCGCGACAAGGTACTAGCATAAAGTTTTAAGTTTGAATTCTAATTTTAGCAGAATATTGGAAAAACAAATACCATTTCAAAATTCTCAGTAACACCAGAAGAATTAATCATTAATGTTTAGTTTTTCATTTAGTTAATCTTGGATTTTATCAAACATCTGTTGTAGACAGATGTCTTTACGTGTTTTGTATACTTTAGTATGTATTAACATTTGTAATTCACAAAATGATGTTACTTTTAGGGTGAAAATCAAGCAATTGAATGCGTCATGGGAATCTTTCCTATTGATGGCATTGATGCTAGCGTGAGTCATCTCAGTTTAAGCCACAAAATAATAAATTAAATAAGGTTAAGGTCTTTGGTAGGATCTCCGGGTTGGATAAAGCGTTATTGGGTTTTTATTCAATTTCAAAACTGTGAGTAATATTACGGATCTTGAAATCATGAGTAAGACCTATTGCAGAACATAACACATAATAATTCTGACGAAAAAGGGTACTTACGTTAAACTTAAATGTATTGTCGGTTATTTTATATAGGTATATTTGATAGGCTGACGTTTCACCAATATCTCACCTGGTGGTAAAAGATGATGCGGTCTACGGTGGAGCACGTCGTCCCATAAGCAACCTATTCATTCAGGCCTTGAAGACTTTATTTAAGGTACTTTACTTATCGATTCCTTGGTGGTCTAGTGTTGATACAGTGATCGTATAACTAATTTGGCTATCAAATAAGGAATTTATGTGTTCCTGTATCTCAGTATTAGCAATTAATTCTAGTGTACGGCAATAGGCTCACTCCCTATTACTTGGGTTTCAGAACTAGTGTTTGTACTAAAAAATAATACCTCTTTATCCCCTTTAGAGTGTATGATAAGATATTGACAGTACCACTGCGTAACTGCCGTGATGTTATGTCATGTAGATTATGAATGAATTCTATAAAATGAGCAAATTCAAACAAAACACGTACGAATGTAAACAAACAGTCGGTCACGTGGATTGTTAGCAATGAGATATGTGACTTATTTGCTTACTGAGCTAAAAATATTGATATTTAATGCCAAGTTAAGCAATTGGTTGGAAAAGAACGATTATATTTTATATTATTAATACTGTTATCACTATATTGTGTGTTGATATAGAAGTCTATTTTAT